TTTTATTTATCTTTTTTGGAAGGATTATGATTCTATTGTGAAATTGGTAGAGGCATTAGAAAAACTTCCAACCTTTGACTTGGCTTTGCATCATCATGTGAAGTTTCATCATGCATTTGCACTGAATAGGTAAGGACTCTTCTTTTTCTTGATGGCAGTTTGTCCACAATCAAAGTATCCTTCCATTCTTTCTAAAAAAAAAAAAAAAATGCTTCAGGCATTTTTTTCATCCTGCGTCTCTTGCTTCTACAATAGGTAGATTTGACTTTCCATCTTGACTTTGGCTTTATATCACTATTTAACTTTATTTTCTGCAGTTTGAGCACAGCAAAAGCCTGAAGAGACCAATGTTGATTGAATGGTCCATGAAACAAACTCAAAAGCATAATACACAAATTAACACGGCTCAGCCTAGAAAAGAAGCAGGCACAATGGAGCTGCAAACAAAATGATATGGATTTACAGTGCATGATTCTATTATTAGCTCTATGATAGTGGGACATAATCTAAAAATGAGGGAGAAGGGCAAGAATGATTAAGCATCATTTTGCTATATCCCTTTTATACATTGGTGTTTCAGATTATTAATATGGTACAGTACACAAAATTGAGAGCTGCGTCCATCTTTGTAATTCGTTAGACAAGTGATTCTTCTTTGGGATTTTGTCTCCAGTAGTTTCTGTCTGTCCTTTAAGATACCACAGAATGAAGGCACTCCCTGCCTCTTCAGTGAAATAGATTATTGAAAGTATGCCTTCTCTATTGTGGAGTCTGCTCTCTGGAACAGCATCCAGCCCCTCTCCCATCAAACTTCCCACTCTACAAGAGTTCCTAAGTTTTTGAAAAAGTGACTTTGCTTCCCGTCCACGGGTTAGGTTGTTTCTTGAACCTATATAAGTTTTCTTTTATAATGTAACAGGTGATTTTTTTTACAGGAATATATACCCTCTTCTTGAACTCTCCCACTTTCCATTTCTCTTTAATCATATCAGCCACCGAGAGTCATTTGAGAGTCAGGCAATTTAAATAAATAGAGATTCCTATAAAATATTTATCTACAAAGAACAAAAGAAACTGTTTTCAAACGGAACACTTAAATATCAATCAAAATTCTTCTCTCTTCTCCCTAGTCAGACATTCTGCACCATCTTTGACACGTGAAGTGATAATGCATTAGGACTATTGCTATGGAATATTCAAATGTTTGTTTTGTTTTGTTTTTTAAAATAAAACAGACGAAATCTACCTGGTGACAGGCAGAAAGCTCTAGATATCATGATACCTCTGGTGGAGCAAGAGAGCCAAGTTGCTTCTGATATGTACTGTCTTGTGGGACGGATCTATAAAGACATGTTCTTGGATTCTGGATTTAAAGACACTGAAAGTCGAGATCAAGGTGCTTTGTGGTAAGTACCACTTTACCACATGGCTCTATGAGTTTACTTTTTTGATATTAAAAGAACACTGAATTTGTATTCTTCAAATGTGTTTCTGAAGCAGTCTTATATGTGGATTAATTAATATAGGTAGTCCTCGGCTTACAAACCTAAAATTTCTGTTGCTAAGCAAGACAGCGCTTAAGTGAATTTTGCCCCATTTTATGACCTTGCTTGCCACAGTTGTTAAGTGAGTCACTGCTGTTGTTAAGTTAGTAACATGATTATTAAGTGAGTCTGGCTTCCCCATTGACTTTGCTTGTCAGACGGTTATAAAAGATGATTATATGACCCTGGGATATTGCAACCATCATAAATATGAGTCAGTTGCTAAGTTTCTGAATTTTGATCACGCAACCATGGGGATACTATAACAGTTGTGTGATAAATAATAATATCACTTTTTTTCAGTGCCATTCTAACTTTGAACAGTCATTAAACAAATGGTTGTAAGTCGAGGATTAATTTACTTATAATTTACTTATAATGACTAAGTAAAATTTAGTCAGATTGGATAGTTTTCATATCTTTTAGATAATATTTTCCAGGTATATTACACTATAAGAATATCTAAGCATGTTATATTACTCTTTAACATAACTATACATTTGACTGATTGTCTATAATAAATCAGCAAATTTCAGAGATAATTTAGTTTTTGACAATTTATTTTATTTTCCATTTAATTTGCTTTTGTCTGTTGGAGAAAACAGCCCCTATACATCTAGAAATAATATAATCTATTATGCAAATCTGAGTTCATTGTGTCTTAATCACAACCGTTGTAGAAACACTAATTTCAGAACAAATTAGACAAAAGATTTTCTGTGATGGTCACACAGTTATGGAACATTTTTTTTCTGCAGTTGATATTACTTCTGTTTCCCAGAAGAGTCTCTGTTTCCTATCATTTTCTAGGAAATTGTTCTGTTTGGTTTATTATTCTATGTAATGTTTTATTTGTTTGCTTTTAGGACATTAAAAGATATAGTGCTTAAAAAATTAAAAATATCTCTGGAATGTTTCAAAACAATTCCCGATCACAACTGACTGTACTTTTTAAAATGAAATGCTGTTGAATGTTGGCAAAGATGAGAAACTATAGTAGTTTTTTTTAAAAAAAAAATCTTTCCATTGACTTTAGAGAATTTCAGCTTTATGCAAAAATGGAGGGTTCTTTTTCATAATGATTCCTCACCAATGTTTCCTTATATTCTGCTAATCAAATAGAAGGTGTGGTCATCTCACCATCTACATTGCAAAGACTCATTTCATAATCAGGTCTAGACTGCACACCTGTTTGGAATCAGTGATCTTTTTTTTGCCATCGCAATTCTACCTTCATCACACGTAAATATATAAAATTGTTTTGAAATGCCCACTGAAGCATAATCCAAATCCCTGTAGCTTATCTTTCGGTCTTTTCTTGTGATCTGCTTGTTTTTACATGGAGAACAAGAGTGAATGCTGCTAGGCGATAAGATTTCGGTTAATATCAACACAGAGATAAGAGGTTAATTATTAGCTGTCCGATTTTTATGCTGACCTCATAAACTGGGGGAAAGGATTTTCTCCATCATTGTCAGGAGACTGACCAACAAGCCAGGCAGAAGTTAAATTGGTATGGAGGCAGACCCAAAGCTTGCAGACAGCAGAATTTGTCTGATGCCGGCTTCCAAGCCAGCATTACTAAGAAAGCAAATTATAATAGATGGGAAAAGAGCAACAGAAAGGAGAAGAGGTACTGGAAAGTGAAGAGATAAAACAATTTGCCAATAACAAATCAATAGCAGAATATTCCGGACTGTTGTTACAAATGTTCAGAGCAGTTAAGAATGCTAAAGACAGTCATGGTGTTGGATTAAAGTGGTTTTAGATAG